AAAGGCAAAGTGGAGCATGGATGGTCAGGAAGATGCAACATCAAACGGCTGAACAGTCTCTATGCAAGCCCTCCAAGGACACCACAATGCCAAGAGACAACCAAATAGCATTTCTCAAGAGCAAACTGGGTCACATAACAGCTTTTCTGACAGTTATCTGGCTGTGTGCATAAGAAGGAAGAAGATATGTCCAGTATCAGCAGGGCTTTGAGCATTGTTTTACATGTACGCGTTTATTGCATTGGTTTTTAAGGCTGCCCTACATGACAGCAGGCTGCTGAAGAAGATGCACACGGGTTGCAGCTCTGACTTGCATCTTTACTCATTTATGTGCATCCAGAGAAGATGTAGGGGACAGTGATCTTTACCCTGTGCTTTGTGGGCAAATTACCTCAAAATACCGTTCCTTCAGAGGTTGCCAGTAATTGCTAGAAATGCCCAGCCAAGAATGATAACTGCAGCAAGGCCAGGCCAGATAATGGCTCCCATGCCATTAAAATGATTAGCAAACAGCAGGAGATGAAATACACCCCGAGGGGTCTCCTCTCTTGGCTCTGCTGCTGGTACTTGCTCAGAGTGCCTGGGGATGAGCCAAGCCAGGCTGGCATTGCTGCCACCCATCTGCCCTTGCTCCATGGGGGACAAACCAATCCACCGTCTCTCCCTGGGGCTCTTACAAGCCCCCATCCTCCTGAAACCCTTCCCATGATGGCTGAGAACTTTTCACGTCATGGTTATCAATTTTTTACTTGTATTGGTGTTTCTCTTCCCTCTCAGCAAGGATGTCACCTTGCCAAGGGCTGGGAAAGGCATAGGTAAAAAACTTTGGGGGTGTTTTGCCATGAAAGGCTTGCAGTCACCTTCATCTCTTCTCAGACTTGCAAATGCCAGGACCCATTATTCAGAAATATGCTTTTTGCAATGACTGCATTCAGGCTGGAGAGGAAGAGCTGGGCTGGGCCAGTGGCAAGGGCCTGCCAGAAGAAATGAGCACCATGCCACAGCGAAGACTTCAACAAGGTGAGAAGAGCCAGTCCCACCTGAGGAATGTTCGATTCAACAGGAATTCCCCACCATCGATGCCAAGAACAAAGCATCCGGAAAAACACGATGCCAGCTTTGGGTCCAAAAAAGCTTTTCCCTGTCTTGTTATCCATAGTCACAAATAATTGCTGTCACAAGAGTCTCACCAGCTCCTGCATACCAAGATGCCTCCATCCCTGCATGCTGGACCTCTGAAGGAAAATCTTGTTTGGACTTGCTGACATTTTGCTTATGCCTTGGCTCCTCCTGACGCCAATGAGGTTTTCCGACATAGCGCATCAGTCTGCCTGATGTTGTTTTTCAGCATTTAAGTAAACAGCAGCAGCACCATGTTTACAGAAGCGCATTTTTCCTCCTTGCTGCCCTGCAGCCCACTGAGCTGCTCCAGAGCAGCAGCCACGATGCTCAGCCAGTTCGCAGTGACACAGCCCCCTGGGCAAGAAATGTCACCCTTCCTTTCCTCTGAACTGGGCCAGACCCCTAAATCCATATCGCCCAGCTTATTTCCTCCTAAGCAAGCAGGTGCTCAAAGAAAGGTACAACCGTGGAGCTAAGCTGAAGTACTGGGAGAAGGGCAGGTGTAGCAATGCTGAGGGTAAAATCCACCAACAAAATGGGGAAAATAGTGGGCATTTAGCTGTGACCACATCGCTTCTTGTAACAGGTCTAGATTCATTCACACTAAAGGTATCTCCAGGTCTAGCTGCAGAACCCAGAGGTCACAGAGATGGCTACAGCAGAGATGCTCTGAAACGGAGTCAGGCTGATGGCTGGAGATGAGCTCCCTCATTAACTTCACAGGTTAATGTTCCGTGGTCATGGACAATATCAGAGGTTTTAATGGTAGGTGGCCTGCAGCCCATGGATTAATTGACAACTAATTTTTTAGAGGTTCTTGCACTTCTTGAGGAGGAGGATCAAGAGGCTGAGGAGTCTCATCTTCAGAAAAGCTCAGGTCTCATGTTAGCACTCAGATAACAGCTCTGCTTTTCCCAAAATCCTGGAGTGCTGGGTGCTGTGCTTTACAGAAAACATGGCCTCGAGTAGCCTGATATAAACTGCAAAGTGCTGAGCGCTTATCACCATAATTTGCTGCTTACAAAGGGACTGAGCAGTTCTGAAAGCCAAGCCCAGATTATGGGTTTCAAATGCTAGAAAATCCGTCCCTGAGCTCTTAATCCAGTTTATGGACTCATCACGAATGGAGCTGAGCCATTCTTGGAAGGAGAAGTTGGCAAAAGCAGTCTTTCTCCACTGTATCAGTAGAAATCACATTCAAAGCTCAGGCCAACAAATCTAGATTGGGGAGTAATTAAAACCTGTAACAGCCTCTCTCCATGACTGAGAGAAGCAGTGATGTTGGGGCAGCAGCCAGAGCTAATTGCATAGGAACAAGACCCACACCAAAACTCGCTTCTCAGGTTGCTCTCTAGGTCACGCACCTGGATGGGAGCTGAATGCTCCTTGGCTCCAGTTGAGCTAAGCCTGCTTGTGCCAAAGAGCTGCCTTCTGCAGCCCTACCGAAAACAGCAGGTTGTGCCTTGATACTATCGGCGCGTACGAACATCTTTTCCCTCTGCAGAACGAGGCATGGGGAGAGGAGCTCCATTCTCCTCTCCCAGCAGCATTGCATCAGTACAGTGCTATTGTGGCTACTAGAATTGTTCTCCCCCTACTTATGCTTAGTGGGAAGAAAAACAGACCCAAATGCGGCTATTCTTTTTAAAAAGTCTCTTCTAACAATAGCTCTCTTTCAATAGCTTATTTACTGCCCATCTGTGACTCCAAAGTAAAATCTGTTCAGCTGTTGATCTAAAAGACCTCCCCTTTACAGCTAATCCCCAATGATCCTTGCTGTTCTCTGGCAGCAGGCTGAATTCTCTCTCAGTTGCCCACATCAATAAACCATACATTATCTATGGCTGGATTTGGTTAAGATTCTGACTAATGATGCATGTGATAGAAGAGGACTCAGATGATGTAGTCTTAGTTGTGCTGCTCAGTAAAACTGGTTGAAGTGGAAAAAAATAGCTAAGATGGATTTTTGCTGTTAAAAAAAAATCAACTACTCTGTTTTAGTGCATGGATAGGAGCAGATGCACTAATTAAAATCGTGATACGTTTGTGGAGCCTCACACATCAGCAAGGGAAATATGAAAGTGGAAGAAGGGCCTGAGAAGTATTTACTGCAAATAGACACAATGAGCGCCATGGGAGAGCACCTGTGCAAATGGATGGGCGCCTCGCTGGGAGCAAGCAGAGAGAGGAGATGTTCTGCTAGTCCAGGAGACCTCAGCCAGATGTGCAGAGACAGTGCACCACAGGATAACCTCTCCTCCAAGGCCTCTCACCACCCGCCTTTTCTCTTTAGCTTAGCACCATCTAGAGGGATGCATCTGCAAACCCAAGGCGTCAGCTCTGCAGTGCACGCTTGGCAGATAACACCCATCTGAAACATGCTGGATTTGGAGTCAGGGAAGACCAAACAATTGAAAGCAAAGCCTCAAAAGAGCAGTTTACTCTGCCAGCCGCCTTCACTATTTGTTAAAGCACAAGGCTGTGGTGCAATCATTCCCCTCGTCCTGGTGAGCTCTTCTGTGAAATGGAAGGATGGGTCCTCCAGAGAGGATTGGAGGATAGGGGGTTTGGAGAGGAAGGCTGGAGGGGGATGCTCAGGGTTTGGGTGGTTTTTTCTTAAATTTTTTTTTTTTTTTCTTAAACACCTACAGATCTTGCATCTGCAGGCTTCGAAGACATCTGATGATGTGATGAGGAGTCCTCTATGGTTTAGAGCAGAGGTCGTTCTTCATGTCCATTCAACCTTTTCCCTTTCACTAACACCACACAGCAGCATGACAGGACGCCAGCTGAAGCAAAGGTTTCTATGCTGCATTTTACAGTTTTCAGCCCATTGCAACAGAGCTTACTCAAATCTTTCGACATGGAACACCAGAACAAAACCGAGGGTAGGGTGGAGTGACATTAGCTCCTCTCTATCTCACACACAGATCTTGCACTTTCTTCTGTAGCAGCCCAGGCTGCTGACTTGCAGTGCCATGAGGTGCAATACCTGCACTCCATCAGCCGTGTCTCTGGCCAACCTTATATAATCCCAAGGCAAGGCCATCGAAACCAAAGTCTGACCTGCCTGAATCAGGGAGTGCTTGGTTTGGAGATAGGAAGCACATTGCCCTGGTCAAAGGGCAAAGCAGAAGCTTTCAGAATTCACCTGACTTTGAGATTAGGGGATACATACCAAGCATAAACAACCACAAAGTTTTGCAAAGGATGGACAAAACCTGCATTTCTTTAGTAACTAGCTGCAGCGACCCCAAGGACAAAAATCAAGCAGTGCTCTGGAGATGGTACGGGGGAACGGCCGCAGAGAAACCAAGGCCAATGCTACTGCCTACATCTTGTCTGCTAGGGATGTCACCCTTACCTTCCCCTGTGTACTTACTATAAGAGGGTTTGAAGGTCTGGCTGGGGCAGGGAGGACGTTCTCATCCCTGCAGTGTTCAGACAGCAGCAGAAAAGGAGAAGAAACATCCTTTTCTTCACCCCTGCTCCACACAAGCGAAGTATATGCTGCAGCAATCCTCTCCAGCTCAGCTTAGAGATCGCAGCACAAGGTTTACCTCCCATTCCTCAAACCCAGGTCCTCCATCAGCCACAAAGCACCAACAGCAGCTCCTCCAGCTGAGGCCAAGCCATCTCTCCAGTATGGTCGGCTCAAACCTCTGTGACACTGCTGGCAGCCGATGCCCAGAGCGCTTTCTCCTTTTGGGGAGGTGCAAGGATCCCACGCCTGGCACGGCACAGCCCTGCCTGGAGGCAGCACCAGGCTGAGCCTGCCTCCCCACGTGTGACCGGGTGTTACTGGAGCAACATCCCCGCGGGAGGGAAGGAAGGAGGAAGCTGGGCTGTAAAGAAATAAAACCACTGCAGAGCTGACTGCGAGAGAAGAGAGAGGAAGAGACAGGCTGGCTGGAAAGGACAGCTTTGCTGAGCCCAGGAGAAAATGGTCTGAGTAATTATCAATGGTAAGGAAACCTCTTGTTTGAGGCAAGAGAGCTTAGAGGGATTTCTGCACAGTAAATACTCTGCATATTTTATAGCTTTGGCTTGTGGGGGGAGAAAGGCTGGTGCTGGAGTGGTTTGAAACACAGCCAGGACACCAGACACGGTAACTCCCTTTTAGCCCGCTAAATCCAGTCCTCTCCCTTTCCTCTGTTACTTTCAGCCATAACCCACCACGGGTCCAGCACAACCCCCAGCCGATCCTCCTCTGCGAGGATCCCCAGCTCACAAAGACGTCCCGCTCTGGGCTCTCTGGGGAGGGTTTTTTGGGGTAGCTGGTGTTTTGCATTGCTGCAGTGAGCAGACAGGTCTCCCCTTTTCTGCCAGCCTGCCGCTATGTGGCCAGGAAGATGGGGACCCTGTGCCACCGGGAGCACCAGGAGCCACCACCGTGCCCACTGCAGGCAGCCCCCCACCGCCACCACCAAAGTAAGTCTGCAGCTTGCTGGGGACGGGGACATCCACACACCTCGGCCCCAACCACGCTGGGGATGGAGGGGCCAGGGCTTGCCTGGGCTCACGGGGTGGGATGGGGAGGGGGGCACCTCCTGTTGCTGCCTGCTGTCCCAGGCAAGCCGCTGCCCTGCGGCAGGGGAGGTGCGCTGGGTCCCTATCCCTCCCTGCCTGTGCTCCAGTGACCATCGTCTTCCTCAGAGTCCAGCACTTTGTCTGAGGAAGAACCGTAACAGGTATAAGTTGCGAAAGTTTATTTTCTTTCCTGATTTATCTTCCCTTGCTGCGTTTTGCCTTTAAATGTCATGGCTGCCTCCCAGCCCCTGACAGAGAGGATGAGCAAATCGCAGCCTTTAGAAGGGAGGACAGACTTACTCTGGGTGTAATTAGAGGGGTGAGCGGATGTAACCTGCTGAAGCACCACTTCCCCAGAGCCACGTCTCCCTGGGGCAATTTTTGTTATTTCAGGCACCCCGCTAATACCAAAATGCATCATCACGCACCCCAGCTGGCAGTGAGAGATTTCTGTCCTTGCTGCCAATCTTCCCCAGCCCCTTCCTGGCCCATTTAAAACACAGAAATCACTATGACTTTGCAGATCGCTCATGCGATGTCCCCAAGAGCAGCTGCTTCTCCTGGCCACCCCCAATTCAGCACAACGGGTGCAGCAAAGACCTTCCCGGCTCCTCATCCCTGCTCCAGCCGCAGGGGCTGCTCCCGGCGAGGAGGGCTCACAGGGGAGCTGCTCCTGCATCGCCCGGCCGTGCTGCTCAAGCGTTAAAGCTTGCTGTCAAAAGGAAATCATTTCTGAACAGCAGACAAAAGAATCTCAGCATTGGAAAGACCTGCCCCACCAATACCAGTTTCACTGGTTCGGCTGAGTCACTCCTGGTTGCTCTTGTGCAAACGTGCCCAGAGCTGCACTTAAGCATCAGCACATTCCCGGGCAGCTGCCACAGCGGTCAGGTCACGCCCCGTGGTCTCCTACCTCTGCCAAGAGCTCAGGGCTGTCACAGAAGACTCGCAGGGAAGATGTCGGGCTGAGCTATTCCCTTTCTGCCGCTCCCATGTGCTGTGCGCAAGGGGAGGAAAGGGAACTGTATGCTTAGGGGGTCCTATGAAATCTCCAGAAGACTGCCTTTCCCCTAAAATAACAGCTGGAGCCTTAAAGGGGGGATGAGGTGAGGGAAAGGGGATATTTCACTTCACTAATGCCTTAATTAAGTGCATACGGTGGAAAAGCAGAGGGAATGGAGCCAGGACTTTGCAGAGGCCCCGAATGGGAAGATCAAGGCAGGTGCTTGGGTGTATTAGCGAGAGGAATCAAACTCCTCCTCTGAGCAAAGAAGTTAAGCTCCTTCTCTGCAGTTAATTCCTGGGTGTTTAATGGCAATCGGGGGAGCTGCCCAGTTGGCACTAGCAGGAGGTCTGGCCCCGTGACTTGCTGGCAGGTTGGGCACACCAGCCCCTCAGCGGCTGTGGATGCAGGGGGCTGCACCAGTGCGGAGGGCAGTGGTGGGCTGCACCGCTCTTTGGCACGGAGCAGCCCACAGCTTTTTGCTCTGCGGCACCCCAGGGAAAGCTGGCCCCGGACAGGGCGCGAGGAGCGTACAGCTCAGCAGAGATCAGATCTGGCTGGGAAATGGGGATGATCTGGAGGCACCGGTGGTGTCCAGGTCACAGCTTGGAAACTGCGGAACTGTATTCCCCTCCTTGCAGCAAGGTGGGCTCTGCTGGGGGGTTATCTGTGTCGTAAACCTGGCCTGACTCCCTCGCACTAAGCTAATGCTGTTTACGGTTCCCATCAGGAGGTTTTTCTGAGCAACTTGCCAGTTCACACCCCAGTCTCATCCCTTCAGCAATAATCTTTCCCCTTGGCTAATCCTGAATCCCCCTCTTTTCTCTGATGCTTGTGCATTTGCAGATGTAAAGGCAGAGGTATCAACAGCCCCCCAAGCACGAGCCTCGCTTCCCAGGAACAGCAACCCCATCCAAGACCAGCCCTGCAGGTCCTGAGGGTAAAAGTGCTTGTGGTCCTGACCTGAAGGCCACGAGCTTTCCTCCCACCAGATTTCCCAGAGAATGCATTTGCTGGGAATCCTGCAGCCCAGGGATTGGAAAATATCAGCAAATCCCTCCTGTATCTGCTCTCAACACAGAAGCACAATGACAGAAAATGTCTTGATCAGTCTCTCGTTACCAGAATTTTCCAGCTGGCAGAAAAAAAAGATTGCCAATGTGTATCAGATGCTCCCAGCACTTTTGGGCTGTGGAGCGCCAGGGGAAGAGCATGAGCCATTGCATCCTAGCAGCGAATCGGATTTTTATACTGTGAAACCAAATTGTGCCCCTAAAGATATTGGTATACATTCAGGCAATTTCCATGAAGGTAAAATCAGCTCCTGAGCTAGAGTAAGGAGTCTGAGAGCTTATGTCTGTGGAAATCCCATCATGTTTTGTATGACCCCCTTCCCCATGCCCAGTAAGCTGGTTAAGCTGTCCTTACTGGGCAGCCAGCACCCCAGTGTGATGCACAGCACCCACAGAGCAGAGGACTGCAGGGACCACAGTCAGATCCCCCTCTAGCAAACCCTGCACTGTCACAGAGAGCAATGACAGCAGAATCGCAAACTCCGCATGTGCGGGGAGGAATCTGCCCGACCCCTTCCTGTGACAGCCCAAGCTGAACCAGAAATAAAGACAGATGAAAAGAGGCTGGTTGGGAGCATGGTGGTTTTTCTCCTGGAAGGGTTTTGCTGTCATTATGGTGTTTGAATAGACTAATGCTTTGGATTGTACATTGGCAGCACTTGGGCTTGCTGCTGAGGCTTGCCTTGCTGCTTGTGTAGGAAGAGATGGATCTTGTCTCACCATTGCTTGTGATACAGACAACAGGGGAGGGAGCAGAGTCATCCTGCACCCCTGGGGAGAGCGGGCTGTAAGCTCCTGGGTCTCCAGGGCCCAGCCTCTTGCTGCCACCCTGAGCAATGGTTTGGCCTTCGGTACCAAAACTTTTCTGCCACAATATCACACAAAGGGGAGATGCTCAGTGGCAGGATGGGATGTACACAATGGAAGGATGTGCACAAACTAGTGACCTTAATTTTAAAACCCTCCTGGCTTTGTGCGGGACAAGTATCCCATGCTGAGCTTCGTTAAGGTGGGAGAGGCACAAGCCCTGCCCGGGGGACTGCAGGGCTCTGCCCGACATGGGGAGGGACGGAGGATGGGAAGGCTGGAAGGTGAAGAACAGACCCATATCTCCCATGCACACTCAGCCACAGCAAGGCTGGAAAATGCAGACCTTAGGACTCTTTATTCTGATCATCGCCACTTCCTAGGACAGCTACTGCCACCAAACCGTGTGGTTAGGTGGTTGGGTAAACATCAGTGCATGGAGTCACCTGAAGTTCATGGAAATGCCTGGCTCTGGGGACAGAGGAGGACATGAGCAGTTCCTGGGCCATACAGCAATTCTCTATTCATGGGCACCACCTGAGCACACAACCTCTTGTAGGCTTACAGCACTTCATTTCCCATGGACTCCATGCAAATGCTGAAGTCTCCTGCTCACCACTGGGTCCTCTTACGTGCTGGGTGTATACGCAGTGGGAAGAAAGGAGGAAGGGAAAAACAAAGGAAATCAGCCTGTCCCAAAATGGAGCAGGAAGGGGAGTCTGAAAAGAGCTGTGCTCCAGGATGCTCTACCCAGTGCCCAGTGCCTTCTTTAAGGCTTAATCCTATGGATCATCAAGAAGTCCATCACCATCCTCCCAGGGGAGGCAGCAGAAGTGGCAGTTACCGAGCACCGTACCAAGCTAGTTCTTAACTGGAAAGTTTGCCAACTCATCAGCTGAGTTGCCTCCCACGTCTGTCACAGGACAAAGCTCACTGTCACTGGCAACTACGTGACACAAACATAATCCAGAGTAAATATCACATTTGCAACACTGCTATGCACAGAGTTCCTTGTCTTCCTTGTATTAAAAAAAACCCCACGTACTTCATTTCGAAGGTGTGGGGCTGGCTCCTGCAGGTATTCCCCATGGCTCTCCGAGGCCCCCAAGTAATAGCAGTGGGAAATTTCCCAAGGGAGCTCCAGGCTGTCCCTCTGACCCCCAGAGCAACTCCTTCACACCAAGCCTGTGGGCAGCCAGAGAGTCTCAAAGGTAAGCAGCTTTCTGGTGAGTGTCTTGCATGTTTTATTAGAGTTATATTTCCACTCATTCATCTGGATAAGTCCAGGATGCACAGTTATAGCCCTCTCCTCTGCCCCATGGCTTCTTCACACTGTTGTGGATGGGCAGCTTTTATTTCAGCATTTTCCAGCCCGCTCTGGTCACCTGCCCATGAACCAGCTCCGGTGTGTGTTGAGCGCGGTGGTCTTGATGAACTGGCAGAGACAGGGCACGCTGCTGTGCTCCAGGTGCCCCCCTGCCACGGCCCGAGGGAGACGGCCGGTCACCAGGAGCCGGACGTAGCATCCGCTGAAGATAACCAGGAGCTGCTGGGCCATCACCTGGAACAAGCAAGAGAGGTGTCAGAGCAGAGAATCTACCTGCAGGAAGAGTGGATGATACATGACATAGCATTTGCTCCCTCGTTCAAGGACTGTCCTTGTCTGAAGGAAACAGGACAGGAGCCAATGGCATATATAACTGTCCCAGATCCCCTTCTGGTCAGCAGTGCTGGCACACTGTCCCCACGGGGGAGTGACATGAAATGACCGCTCGCCAGTGGGTGGCCAAGGAGCCAGGCTTCTTGGGGACCTGCCCGCTCTGTCACTGCCTCCTGTTGCTTTTTTTTGCCTGTAGATGGCCAAAGAGCTTCAATCTGCAGGGATGTCACCTGCACCAAATTCGCTTAGTAACAGCGAGAGGAAAACTGTAAAATAAATCAAAATCATCCCTTTTGAAACTTCTTGCTGAGCGGCAATGAGGACACATTTGTTGCTCAGCATGGCACAAGTCTTTGAAGGCACACTCCATGGAGGAGACAAAGGCTGAGCACATCCATGCCTCATCCCCAACCCGAACACAGGTGCTGGGTCCGTGCATGGACCCTGGGAGATGTTGTCTTCCAAAAGAGGACCCCTGGCCACCAGCAAGGAAAAGCCCAATCCATGAATTCCTCAAGGATTAAGCACTAGCTGCTCAGTAAGCATTAACTGCTCAGCAGTGTCAGGGCTGGAGAAGGTGTGTGTGGACCTCCAGGCTTCCAGGTGCTTCTACTGGTGAAAAAGGAGGTGTCCCCCATAGCTGGCAGCTGCTGAGGGGGGTTTTGGAGCTGAGGTGCCTGGGGAGGTGATTTGGTGCCTCTGTCCATCAGGGAGGGATATTTCTCATTACCTCTGGTGGGCCCTTGGGAACGAGGTGGACCAGCTCGTTGCATGTCACGGGCTTTTTATTTGGGTTCACTCCACTGGATAACAGAGGGGACTCTTCACGCAAAGCCTCCTCCTCCATCCCCAGGTCAGGCCGAACCACCGCCTCCATAACCACACAGAGCTGGTCCAGGCTGTGCTGCAAGCCTGACTGGAAGAGAAAGAGATTTTGGGGGGCCTCCAAAGGCAGCAGCGGTGTCCTGAGGACAGCCTTTAAAGAGCATGATTTCCTCCTGCACGTTTTTTACTCCTGGGAGTTATCATCCCAAGAGTCAAAACCAGCATTGGCCAAGAGCCATGCCCAGCACTTGGAGCTGAGTGTCTTCATCCCACAGCCCTGCTGCTATCATCAGCTGTGTCTTGTGCCAGCAACTGCTCCCAGCATGATGGTCAGAGCCTGGTATGGAGAATCATGTCTTTAAAAACCATATGAGTCGTATCAGCCAATATATGAATTGATGTGTTACTGTCCATCCCTTGATCTGCATTTGTCAGTTCATCCAGGGAGATGAGCAGCTTTGGGATTTTCGGAGGGTTATACCCCCTTGCCTCTCATCCTGCACCCATGGTCAGCAAGGGCAATTCAGTGCAGGAGAGTGTGGTGTTTGTATATTTATACAAGCGCATAGAGGAAAACATTTTCTTAAGGCCAAGAGGACAAAAATTTTATACAGTTAACCCAGTACAGTGTTTACTTATTCCTCAGGCTATCCCATTTATTTCAGAAGGACAGCTCAAGGTGTCCATTATTTCAAGTTGTGACACATGCTTTCAAAATTTACCCTTGATTCTTGATGACTTTCCTTTATTAAAGTTGTACAGTTAATTATGCAGACATGCACATACCACAGGACCTAAACCAGTTCCTGCTGAACTGGGCATCGACACATGCAGTTTATCCACCTCCCAGTCTGTCCAGCTCCCAGTTCACAGCAGGGGATGCCCAGGAGAACACTCAAACACTCGGTTCTCCTTGCCCACCTCCATCCCACCAAAGCCGGGGCGTAGGGGTGGACCTGCACGTGTCCCTGCGGGAGCTCGGGCTGTGCCCACCATCATTTACCTCTCGCGTCCTCTGCAGGTCCGTGACGTGGGCTGCCAAGGACTGGAGGCAGCGCTCCTGGCTGAAGTGCACGAACCACAGCTGCGATGGTCAGGGTTAAGGAAGGGTCTTTCCACGCTTCCCCCTCCGCAGCCCTCCACCTCCGTGCGGCTCTTGGTACCAACCTTGCAGGAAGCGGAGCAAAGGCAGGTGGTGCCCATGGGGTGCTCAGGACACGGGAACCAATAACACATCACAGGGCTAATTTTAAGCCAAGAGGGTCTGGGCTAATGCAAAACCTCAAGGGAAAGAGGAAAAGAAGAGGGGTGGCAGGGAATGGGGACATTGCCCCAGAGGGCAGCCAGTCCTCCTGGCACACCTCCTGCATCCTGGTGGGGTGAAAATTGGGATAACCCAGGGCCATTGCCCATCACTCACTTAGTGGCCTTACAGCTAAATAAACTGGTGAGTCACCTTGACTTAGCTCCCCTAAACTCCTTCCTGCTTTCTTTCCTTTGATTCTAGGGATTCATTCCATTTATTTTTTACAAAATTTACTGTACTTCATGCTTGTCTTCAGGACAGAGGCACTGTTTGCAAAGAGTCTACCAAGAGCAACATGTTGGGGTTGTTAGTTGTGCCAGCTTTGAGAGCAGCAGCCCCCAGGAAGGCAGCCAAAGGTCTGCCCTTGTATATCTACTCAAGCTGCCATTATCAAGGGGATTCAGGAACAGCATAAAAGCTAGAGGGTTGAAATGGATATGACATTGGAGCAGACTGAGAAATCATAAATCCTTGGGTTGTTTTCTGCTCTCAGGCAGTTCTGGGACACGTAGGTAGAGGTGAAGGCTTCTTGGATTAGTCCTCACTTACTGAGGTGCAAAATTATGCTGGTCTGAACAAATGTCTAATTCAGGTTCTTAAGTGTTTTCTCCTCATTCTGCGTGACTTCACCCCTGCTGGCCCTCCTGCGGTATTCCCTGCCCCCTTCTCTGACCCTGTGTTTCAGCCTTGGCTCCCCCTCTATCTATTTCATACCTCTGTATATATGGAGGGGAGTGAGATCCACCAGCAAATCTGGGAGACCATCTCTCTCACCTTCCTTTAACACTTTCATGCTGTCTTAGAACTCTCTTTTTTCCCCTAAATCTTTGGCTAGTCCAGAAAAGGTATCTCTAAAAAGCAGCAAATGAGCCTCCCTCTACCTAGTTTCTTTAACCCGCACTTTTAAAAGGCCATGAAGGTCAGAAGTGCTTGGCAGCTACAGACCTGGCTGCCAGAGACGCGCAGGGTGAAATCAAGTTCTCTAACGTGCCTGAAGGAGGGAGCCCAGGGTTACAAATCACCTGGAGAGCAAAGGCACTTGGATGCTGTTGGCTTAGTTTGTCTCTGCAAGGCAGAACATGAGCTCCCAGGGACAGGCACTCTGGTTTTCTCTGTGTTGGTTTTTTTTGCCATAGGCATATTGCTGTCACCCTGCTTATAATAAGAATCATTACTGTCATGTAAGTATAATACACTTTCAGGAATAATTGCCCGCCGAAAGGACTAATCCCACTTCAATCTTTTAGACTCATTATTTCCAATTGCCTTTGGGCATATCTCAATCCTCACTTATAGGAGAAGAAAAGATACCCAATCCCTTATGCCATCCAATAGGAGAAAAAATTAATCCTAGAAATCCCACCCACTGGAGATCCTCATGGATCATAACATCAGTGAATACCTCCATATCATTAGCTACCCAGAAGGGGTACAAATAATTCCCTACAGAAAGGATACTTGTAGGATGTTGTGTGGCCCATCCAGGGCATCTGTAATCCCTACTATTAAACCGTGTTTGATAAAGATTTCATTGACAGCTGCCAGCCTCACATCTGTATTCACGTTTATCTATTAAAGAATGAGGGAAAAATTAACACACTCGACAGCAAAAGTTGGGCCAGCCTGATGCTACAAACTGCAGCTGGATAATCCCAAATACCACATCTCTGAAAGGAAAGCAGTGACAAGAGCAGTCTGCAGTCAGGCAGGACTGTCACCAGCCGTCAGTATTGGCCTAGCCACCGCTGGTGGATGTCTGTGGAGCCAGAAATCTCACTACGGATTATTTCTCTTACAGACAAGATGTCTGAAGGGGAATCGACTTCCAGTATCACGTTCCCTCTTCCTTCCCCAGCAGTCCCTGAGTGAAGGACTCCTTTCCCAAACCTCTGGGCACCTGCATGTTTGCCAGGTTTCCCTTTGGAAGAATCATTGCACAGCTGTCATTAGAGGCTTGCTCCAAAATCCGTGCAATTAAAATCAGTGCAAAGACCCCTCTGGATTTTGAATCAAGCCTTTCTAAAATTACTCTTCAGATCACTTAGTAATTTCCATACTCCTGTGATTCCTACAAACAAAAGTTGACAACAACCAAGCACTGGATGCTGCAGGCTGGTTGCCTCTCATGCTAACGTCATCTCCCTACTTCCTTCCACTGCCCAGTCTACCTCGGTTTTATAATTTTATTGCAAATTCCATGGGTTAGGAGCTGCCTTTTTGTTCTGGACCTGTTGCAAGGTCCAGAGCACCACAGCAACACAAGTAAACGATGCTATTAGTGGCTGCACACAGCCGAGACTGCAAGGACCATCATCAGAAGCAGGGCAGGAGCCAGCTCTGCTGGCGAGCCCCCGTGGCTTCTCACCAGCCGTGGGAGTGCAAACCACACTCTGCAACAGTTGCTTTATCTCCAGTGACAGCAGGCGCTTGGAGCCAGCCTGCCGGGCTCCATCACCTACTTTTGAGGCATTGAAACCTAACCTGGCTGTAAAGCATCCCTTGCCTGAACCTGATCTCTGAGCCTGCTGTAAAAATATTCCTTCCTCCCCGGGTAATTCTGTTCTTCATGTGCATCTAGAAGATGACCTGGGTCCCAGCACTTTGGTGGGAGGGAGTCCTGCTCCCCACGCACTGCGTGCCTGCACACAAGCAGCCTCCTCTTACCTTCCTCTGGCGACAATCGATAACCAGTATCACAACTACAGTGACTGCTACAGCAGCCAGGGTCACCAGCACACTGGCCTCCCAGTAGCGTCCAAAAGAACACAGCTGGACTGTGGAGTAAATGTTTGTCCAGAGAGACATGTAGAAAACCTGTAAAAACCCAGAGAGACTGATGATAGTCACAAAACTATGGAAGTGAGATAAGTCACAGGAAGAAGAAAACTACCAGTCCCTTCTCCCAGGGTAATACCTTACCATAAATCAAGTCACACAAGATTTTCAGAGGGTGAGGAAGGACAGAAGTTCTTTCCAATAATAAATAGGGGAAAGAAAGGACTAGAAGGACTGAGTGAGCCATGGTTTATTATAAATAATTACTAGTCATCAAAGGCAGAGAGTGAATTATTAATGATGATTCATACCTAGGGAGGATGTCGACCGAGTTCTTCCATTTAGATAAGAAATGCACTCACTGAGGCATATTGATAATACTTCTAATAGTCCCTGTATTTAGAAAGCTCCTATGTCAAAGCACTCAAGGTGGTGCAGACTACTCAATTACAATAACGCTGAAATAGTGGACACTGACACTGGACTCAAGGACTATGCTAAGGACTGACAAACCTGGTCTTTGCATAAAGACAGGCAAAACTGAAATAATTTGGCCTTTACTTTAGATAGCAGACATTTGAGCAGGAGATTGCCTAGAAGCAAATAAGATGTGTACAGCAGAGTGTGTCACAGCATCGTCTTGCAATAATAAAACTCATTTGCACTAAACAGGCACCAAAACCCTCAAAACACTGAGCACCAATTCCTACAATATTAGTGAAAGGCGAGAAAACATGTATAATTGCTATCCAAAAAAATAAATGCAACTAAAACAAAGGAATCAGATTTTATCACACCCTCAGCACGCTGCATCTTGCTGTAGATGCTAATGATCGGGGTCTCTGGAGAAGCTTCTCTCACCAGAAGACAACAAGCAAGACTAGACAATCACCTCAGTAACCAAAGTTGACTGGTCCATTAGTCTAAATTAGTATCAGAACCAGAATACCTACAGATTTTTAAAATCAAGTTAAAAAATGTCTGATGTAAGTAGTACTACTTCCACATATGCTGGTTATCCAGCCATGGACAGCCTGCTTTGGTGAGACTACCAGCAAGGGGTTGGAGAAGGTGCCTTGCCCTCCATCTACAGAAATTCTGTGAACTGGGATTTCCAAAGGAACACACTAGGATATGTAAAAACCAGTATCTCCTCCCCACTCAAACCCCTCTCCCTCCCTGGCCACAAGAATCCCAGGTATAGGTCTTGATGCATCTCAGCGAGCGCATGTCTATGGCAAGCAAGAGACCCCACCGTCCTTACCACGGCGATGGCTATCTGGAATGCCCTGGAGTTGTAGAACATGTACCGTCTCACTTCAGGCTTCAGGACAGCATCCTGGATTAACCTTCTCCACTGGTCCTCTGCCACCTGCTCAGGGAGCAAACAGAAAACTAGGTCCACCCTCCAGTTTTGGGCTCCTAGTCCCATCAGAAATAGTCTGGGCAGTCACTGAGGGGCCAGGCTGGCACTGCGACCGAAAGCTCTGTCCCAGAGCACCCTCCCGCAGAGTGCACCTCCAGTCTTATCTATACAGCTGTCACAGACCAAAAACTTGTGTTCTTGCCTCATTTGCAGTGAGTAATATCTCCCTGGAAAGTGCAGGGAAAGTCACAAGAGAAAACCACCTTTTTATGACAAAGGACAAGACAAGACAGATTGCCCCAGGGATGCTCCATCCCATCAGAGTGACTTTCAAGCAATTCAATAGAACCTATGTTGAATGGGTTTCTTCATGGAGGTTTAAGTCAAGATCATTACAGTTGACTTGCAGTCCATGGGGAATAGACTGAAGTTGAACTGAAACAAGCGACTCAAACCAAAAAAGATAAAAGCTGTCTGTGATGTGGGTGCAAATGCAAATGATGCTAATGCAGCTAGCATTCACTCCTACAGGGTCCCCAGGGGAGATAACACGAGGAGCTTACCTGAACCCCAAGGGACTTCAATTTCTCTGCACAAAGCTCCATGTCAAAGGAGGTGGCTGAGCAGTTGTTGGCCATGCTGAGCACCATGAGCACCTGGCCATTGGGGCGTTCTGCAAGAGCCCAAAGGAGTCATGAGCACAGCTCTGGTATGGGTTTTCCTCCCAGCAGCTAAGTAGCACGTGGCAAAGGGAAGGCTGAGGAATGCAAACCACCCTGACATGTTTTAAATGGATCCAGAATACTCCCTTGGACATTTCTAAGAACATCACAAGGAGCTTTGGAAGCGGCCTGATGTCCCTTGTAAGAAAACAACCTACAAAAAGGGAGGAAACCCCAAACACATTCCAGGAGTGAGCAGTCAGAGATAACATGATGCTCTGATCTTCAGCAGGATAATGTCTTGTCTCACTGACCCCTGACAGAAAGGACAATGGACTCAAGCTCCTCCCTCTTGCTAAGGCTATCTACGTCTTAGAGAGATCCCCCATTGCCTACCCACCCCACCCACCACAAGAAAAAACTTGAGCAATCAAATTAAAGTGCTTTCCAATAATCACATTGCCTGCGATGTGGCAGGGCTGCCCTGGAGCATGAGCCCCATAGGTCCTCCAGCGTCCAGTTCCCTTCTCCAGCAGTGGTACTGGGCAGCATGGCTCTGCTCAAGGGTCTCAGCTTCCCAGTTTCAGCTAGGGCTAGGATCAGAGATGTAATCTAGAGACACAACTTGCAGTCAGGAGCCTAGAAAGTGTGAGGACAGCCTGTCCTAGATTTGAGGAGCAGGCTGCTCCTAGCTGAGGCACAGCAGCCTTGGAGCAGCACAGGAGAGCTCTGATCTCCAGGCATCCCATCTGGCATTCATCTAGAGTTTACACAAGCTGTGCTACGTCAAGGGGAAGAGATCGAGTCTAAGGAAGTGGCTTGTTCAGATGAGATCCTGTTTCACTGAAACATTTCACCCTGCTTTCCTTCCCATTTGCAGATCCAGGATCAGCCAGGTGTCCCCTGGCGCTGCTCCTGCTGACACTGCCACTTAGTGCTCTCCCAGACTGCTGTGCTGGCTGAAACACAGCATGCACTCACCTTCCCCTTCTCTCCCACTTATGTCCTTCGCCCTCATCATCTCTTCACTGCTCAGGAACAGGAGATGCCAAGTGAAACGAGTCAATTACATTACAATAAGGCGTGACTGCATCGAGTAAAAAAAGGAAGAGGAGATGCATCTGAAACCTCCAGGATAACAAGGTCCTGTTTGTTTGCTGAGGTTTATCTCCTCCTGACACAGAGCAGTGGAGGCAGTAAGTATAAAGCAAGAATAAAAACAAATGGCCCCAGCCTTGGGCTCGGCTCTCCTGTTCTCCATGGCTTTGGTCCAGTTGCTTGGCACAAAGTCTAGCAAGTTGGGTGCCAAGCTGAGATCCCCAAGATTTGCAGAGCTCCTTGACCTCTGCTGGAGCCTGCTGGAGTGACAAGAGCTGCTTCACCCCTGCAAAAACTGAGCACTAAGGAGGTGCCATGAACTGAGCAAGCAAAAAGGATGCCCTGCTGAATGGTGCGTGGAGGTCTCGGTGAGAACAGCCACCCATGGCACTGCCTTCTGTCTCTGCACAGCACCTCAGGTGGTTTTGGAAGTAGTGCTGCAGAGAGGGAGCAAATTGTTACTGGGGAAGGGAGTCAGTCAGAAAGCACAGGTCAAGTTTCCCAAAGATTTCTTGACTTTTGAAGGCTAAGAGAAGAGGACTTCCAGGGTCCTGGTTTTCAATAGGTGGATGTCCATTCATTCCTATATATCAGGCTTTCCAAAAAAGTCAGTGTCTCCATCCCCTCCCCAAAATGCTGAAAAATCCATAACGTTTAGTCACTTTTGCAGATGAGTTGCTGTTAATGAGCATCTTTGAAAAATCTGTCTTCTGCTATTCTAAGGGCACCGTACTCAGTACTGCCTTTCTCCTTATCATCAAGTTGCTCGCTTACCTTTCGCCCACTGCATGGATCCTTCCTTTAAATCACTCTTACAGTAGAGGATGGAGGAAAGCGACCTGTTTTTCTCAATTCCACCAGCTTGGCTTTTATGGGCCATGCTGAAGGTGCCTCTCCTTGAGGGACTCTATGTCATATTGTCAGAAATCCAGCACTTTGTATATCTGCCTTATCTTTCACTGCTAAGAAACACCGGTTCAGCCCCAAGGCAGCAGGCAGCTGGCTTGCTCTCCTCTTGGGGAGCAGATTGTGAAATCCTCATTCACATTCCCTCCGATGACTTCTTCGAGATCCTGCTTTCCATGAGCAAGGAGGCATTTTCTAGCCCTGAAAAGAGGAAAAGAAAATCCCAGATCTTGCAGAGACAGCAAAAAAAAGGGTAACTGCACAGACTACTTGGGTGTACTCTGCTCTTTGGACCCTGCTCCCTGTGGATGTTATCACCAGTAGGTGTTAGCCAGCTATGAGTGCAGTACGCACAGGCTCGCCTTTTGCTGCAATTACCCTTTTTCTTTCATTAATAGGTGGAAAAGTTATCCTTAAATATTCCTTAAATTATCCTGACATCCTTAATTATTCATATTTTGTAAACAATTAGTCAAGAAATAGGCAGGATTTCTCCTTGTGAAGCCAACAGGCTTTTTGCTATTGCTTTCAACAGGCGCTTTCAGAAGAAAGTGGAGACAGTGTAAATGTCCCTCCCTGGAAGTGATGCACCCCACTCACTGACACCGTGGGTAATTCCCCACCACACGAAGGAAGCAGTGCAGATAAGGAAGAAAAATGTATCCACTGAAGGCAGAGGCAAGCAGGAGCTCTCACCCAGCAGGAGCAAAGCCTTTGAGGGTCTCTGCTTTCCTTTCCCCTCTCCTCTCCACTGCGGGCAGTGCAAGAAGCTGACGGGGCACGTCCCCGCAGCAGGCACCATGCCCACCATTTTTCCAGGCAAATGCTGCTGACGTAGGTCTCTAACCTACTGCCAGGACCTGTGGGTGGTTATTAAAGCAAATGCTTGGAAGACTCTGAAGTTTACTTTTCAATTATCTTCCACTCCTGTGGGTCAGCTGCATCCACACTGGCTCTCCAAAACTACCATTCACTTTTTAACCTCCGCTTGGTCTTACTTTTGCACCAGGAGCCTGTTGCCGTCTCTTGGTGTAAGAGTACCTCACAGAGCTCATCCGCTCTCCTTCCAGAGAGGATTGCTTTATTTTTGACTGATGGTTGTTGCTGCAATTACCCCCTTACACAAAGCCAGGATAGTCACCAGTTGAAGGTCTGTCAAAAAGGAAGTTGAGGCAAGAGAAACAACATGAAAAGTTCTTCTGATTGCAGAAAAAACCTGCAGAGGGCTGGAAACTCACACTTAAAGGAATCAAGCCATGGTACACATTGCACAAGAGGTGTGCAGTGTGTGTGTGCATACACAGGATGGGCACAGCACCCACTTTTCACCAGCGCAGGTATGGAGCAGTTCTGCTGTACGTTGAGTGTGGCTCTCCTCTGCGATTTCTTTGCCAGGAATGGGCAGCCACGTGTTACAGAGCACATCTCCTGGCACCAAAAGGTGGATTCAGACAGTGAATTTTCTCACTCCTTTCCCCCTTTTGCCTTCAATCCCTTTGGGTTAGCATCAAACAGAAGGGAAAATGAAAAACAAGACAGGAAAGCCCACACAGAACAGCAGCAAAGCAAAGAGTGAAAAAACAGAGGAAACAAAAGGAAAACCCTATTAAAACCTACCACCCTGCTGTTGCTGCTGTCACGTTAAGTTAGAGGTGAATCAAGGCTCTCTGGCTTACATGTCGAGAATTTTGAGTCTCTGGAGGACAGTCCCCAGGAGATGACAGCAAATGGTGCAGCAGGGTGAGGGCAGCTCAGCCTTCCCCAGCCCGTCGGGGAGCTGCAGGAGGGAAACAGCCTTCCCCAGCCAGGACAAACTCGTCGGCAAAAGCAGCTTTGCTTTTACCTCTTTGTGCAGCATAGACCACGTTTGGCTCCATTGCCTTTTGCTGCAGAACAACTGCCTGGTTTTGGAGATGGGTCCCCCCCAAATCTTCCCCTGCCACCTCCTGTGCTGACACCAGGGGCATCCTCTCATCTCCTGCACTCCCCAGGCTCTGTGTCTCTCTACATCTCTTCTTATTCTTTATGCAATGCCGACATCGCTCTGGTGACTTTGCCTCCTTCAGCCTATGAACCTTCTTTTTAGGACACCTCCAATCCCTAGCTAAACAGCAGAGAAACGTTCAGCAAGTCCTTCTGCTTCATTTCCACAGCAACTGGCAGAGGCTTACCTGGTCCAGCTCACTTCATGGTCCTGGGGAGCCAGCTCAGCTCCCTCCTCCTCCTCCTCACTGTCCTTTATCTGCCACCATCCCACTCCACACTGCGCAAATGCTGGGCTGCCCCACCACTGTGCAGGGATGTCTCCGGTCCCACAGCCCCAACCTGCGTGGAGAAAGTCACTTTCTTCCCTGCATCTCCCGGGGACCACGGGCTAACCAGACAGCTCACCCAAGGCAAAAAGCCTGTGCCCCGTGCTCCCTCCCATTACCCTAAGCTGCAAGCACCAACTTGCAAAATCTCCCTTGTGCATGTGACTTTTCTTTCCCCTAGGCTGGTTTCAGAAACATGGTTTTAACCCTCTAGAGTTCCTCAAAAGTGCTTCCGCACTGAAGATACAGCCATGGGAGGAGATTCTGCCACAGGAGTTATCCTCACCTTTTGCAGGGTGGGGGTCCAGAGCTGGAGCTGGACCCTAAAGGCTGTGAAGAGCTGAAGAGTGGCACAGACAGGATGCTGTCTTCCTCCTCGATCAGCTGGGCAGGACTCACGAAGTACAAATCCCAAGGCTGCGTGAGATTAATTGCCGTGAATATATTAATGAAAGCTAAGCATCGACGATAGGGCTGGAGAAATCAGAAGAGGTGAACAAAGATCAAGGCTGAGAATGGGTCACTGTATATTTAGCAAAAGGTCATGTTAAAGCACAGAGAAACAGGAATAAGGTGCAGAAGGGGGAACCGTAACCCTCCTCAAAACAGGAGGCTGCGCTGGTACAATGGGTGGGCGTGAGTTTCCTCTCCAGCTGCTGTACTCCGAAGAAAAGCAGTAGGCTCTAACACACAGTCAGACAGACCCCCCAGAAGAGCTCCACGTGCTGGGGAAGTCATTCGCTTTCATGCAAAGAGATAATGCTGAGAGACGCCACGGGAGAGAAGACTCCTTTGCCTGGGAATTACGGTTTCACGGCTCACCAAAAGCTAGAGGATCCATGGAGGCTAGGAACAAGTATCTTAGCGACTGTTAGTCTTAGTGAATGGTTTAAAAAAAAAAAAAAAAGAAGAAGCTTTATTGCAGTGCCTGTGTACACTTCCTGGAGAAAATGTCGTTCTCTTGGAGGGATGAATTTCTGCAGCCCTGCTGGCTCCAGACATTGCTGAGCAATGCGTTCATTACATCACGTGGCTGCAAGGGCAACAGACTCCAAAGCTGCTTAACCACATGGGATCTTGTTACACTGGAAACCGGCATCTCACACAGTAACATTGTCCAGGTATTGAGAAAAATCAGATAAATCTCTTGCTGTTGTCACTAGCTCAAGGCCCAGCTCAAATCCCCACCCAAGATAGGGCCATGCAAAGCTTTAGGTTCTTTTGCAAACAATTCTCATCAAAAGCTTTGGCTTCGTTTCCTCCTCTTCTCACCCACGTAAAGATCCTGCCAGAGGGAAGATATGACAACCAAAGTGCTTAGAAAGAGCACTGTCAGCTCACTGCAAAGAAATGCCCGAGGCAAAACTCTGTGTGGGCAATAAACTTCAAAGCAATGTTCATAATTACCTGCACCACATACACTGTACACCTCTTGTTTAGCAAGACGTGCATGTATGGGCTGATCTTGGCATCAACACCTCATCCCACCAGCACAAGCAGAAAAATCCTGCTCATATAGAAGACCACACACTACTAAATCTTTAGGAATTTTTAGACTGACGGGCTTTGTCTCTGAAGGTTTTCAAAGCATCTGTTTCACACCTATCTAAGGAACCAAGGACGAAGATCCACAGAAGCTTAAACAAACCTAAATGGAAGGCAAGGTTTTCCAGTTATTTTTCTGAGATAGTTTTCTGCCCAACCATCTCCCTGAACTTGCAGCTCTGGCCCAAAGGAGATGATGGATCTGCAGGTTGCATTGTAAGGAGTCAGGGTCTCCTAGCCCGACTCTTCCTGACTTCAGCAGTCATCAAGCCACATGCTCAGAAACTTTTTGCAGGTGTTAGTTTTCTGATCACCTTATTTGGGGCACAATTTTTATGCTTTTGCTAGGCAAGTGAGATCCTACCAAGTATCTTCTCAATCCAAGCAGGTATCCTGTAGTCACAGGTCCCACAGAATAGCCTATAAAATATTCAGTGATTAATATATTCCAATAAACACACATTTTAGATTCTAGCTGGACAATAAGCTGCTGTTGTATTTGCACATATGCCTTTATATCTGGGCTTCTGAAACACAAAGATGTGTCTGTAACATTCCTACCCCACCTATTAATAGCCCTACCAAAACTTTAGCATTAGAAATTTAACCCTCTTAAAGCCAAGAAGGAAAGCTGTAATTAACAGCAAATGCAAAGTCAATCAGTAAACTAGAAAGGACTTTGCAGAGAGTCAGGCAAAGGCTCACAAGAAATAGAAAACTATTTGACTGTAAAACAGAGAGGACGCTGGCAGGATCCCAATGCAGACCGGAGGTGCTTCTGTTTCACGGAGCCCAGTTGACACCCTCTGAAAGTGGCCCCATTTAAAAATGAAAGTCTGCAAATGAAGGTCTTCCAAAAACTGAAATGAGAATGAATGAAATGAATGAAAATGAATGAAAATGCAGACCTCTCTGCTCCAGGAAGCATCGTGTCGGCTGTATGTTCAGCTTGTGCTGGCTGGCAGGGGATTTAGGGATTTGTTTTATGCAAATCAGCGTTAAGACAGCTTGAGGTTTGTCTTGAGCTTTACTCACTTGTATTTATGAAGAAGCATGTCCTGATTTACATTAACCCACAACAAAGCTATTTGCAAAGTCTCCCTCTCTCACTTCACTTGCTTTTTGCCTATTTTCTCCTTCCTGGTCTTAACTCTCCCATAATTAAGTGATGCGCTCCCACTGCAGCCTTCTCACGAAGGCACACTTTCACCCTGCTGTCAAATGAGACCTCACCCTTCTTTCCAACGTGACTGAAACCAGCTGCGAGGGCCAAGAGTTATTAGGGGACAAAACCCAACCGCACAGCCTCAGGACATGGGGTCAGCAGGACTCCAGCAGTGGCGATGCTGGAGCCTCCACAGCCATCCACCCCACAGCCTTCCTGGTAAAAAGCACTTCTAAACTAAATCTTTCCCATTTCAGATAAAGCTGGTTACTTCTTCTAGCCTCAGTGAATCTGGTGAAGAATTCAATGTCTGTCCACTTTGAAACAACTCTAATTTTTTTCGAGACTTCTCCACTCTCCACTGTCATGGAGTCTTTAGACAAAATAATCCCTTACCTCCCCATCGTCATCATCACTCTGAGCCACATTTGACAAACCTCCCCAGGCCCGTCGATGCTTTATTCAAAGAGCAATTTATTTTCATCTTTTTCAAAGCTCAGTGTCCAAACAGGACACTGAGACCTCACCACATCCATGAGCGTTAACAACTCTCTCTTTCTCACTTCCATCTTACGTAGGACACTTGAATCAATATGCTGTACAGTGGAGACTTCATTTCAAAACCAAAACATTTGCTGAGTCTGGGGGAGTTCACCCTCATTTTCACAATTTCTGCAGTGCTGTACAGCTGGTTATTGATTGCTTAGGTTTTGTGTATTTGATTTCACCTTTCTCAGTTCAGCGTTACACTTCTCTTCAGGGAGTCTCATGCTATTGGTTTCAGATCATTTCTCCCATTTATCAAGATCATTTTGAATTATAATTCAGTCCTCTATACTGTTTGTATCTCTTCCCAGCGTGATGCCCTGGACATATATTATAACTGTACTCCTTATTCCATCATGCTGCATTAATGAATATATTGCAGGGAACCTGATTCCAGGAAAAAAATATCTGCCATTTGAAGAGCTTTCCCAGACTGACAGTAACCACCGATACCTCCTGTCCTCAGGGATAACCTCATCCTCTATCATGTTCTTAATATCACTTCCGAGATCACTCTTCACTACTTCAAGTCCCGCTGCTTTAAATGCTGAGACATATACTCTTTAGTCTGCTTTTTCCTATTCCGACTCCTAAGACCATATTGTCTCTATATGTACTACATGGTTTGATACACTTAACTTTTTTGCAATATTTGAAAGGCTGATAACGCATCACTTATTCCTGCTTTATTTGCCATGGCCTGCACACGACTGCAGTTTCTCCATACATAAGTCTTGTTTGTGGCTGTGCACACTGCAGCCATGAGCAGCAGCCAACATGGGCAGATCTCATTTGCTTTTGATGAAACTGCATTTTCAGTGACTAACTGTTCCATCTTTTTTTTTTTTTCCAGTGAGCCTTAATTAGGAGAACAATGTTGTTGAAAGCCTTGTCTTGCCCTTCCCCTCTCTTCCTGCACACAAAGTCTTCTTTCACAGACTCTGGGTTGGGTGTTTGGTTTTTTTTGTCAAACAGCTCAGCAAAGCTGACAGATTGACAGTCATAAAATATAAAAACTTTATTTCACAATATCCCTAAATTACATATTTCAAATGAAAAATGACACTTGCTTAAGGCATAAAGTGTAGTTCTTGGTTTTTTTCCCTAGTTCTGCCTTTTTCCTATGAAGACTTAAAGTATTATTCTTTTTATATGGTAATGTAAAAACCTCTTTCTTGTATCTCAAATTAGGAGGGAAAGCTTGCTATGTGCCTTGGATAATGATTCAGCTATTGATCCAGAAGATGCTTTATTAGATTATTTTGAGACAGCTGAATGTAATTTAATACCTATTTATTTTCTATTCCTATGCCAGCCCGAGATACAATCTTTTCTGCATGAAATTAGTACTTTCTCCTTTCAACCTCAAAGAAAGATTACACTATGCTCCTTTCTTGGATTAGTTTGGGGAACTTTTTCAACAAAACATTAATCTTGAGGGTTCTTGACAGTCTTTTAATACTTTGAAGCCAAAACCTCAGCTGGGATCAGTGGGTTCTAGGCTTGTTTTTCTTATTATGCATTAATGCAAGAACTAGTGATGTCAGATAAAAGGGAAAGAGTCCAAATGAGGAAAATCGATACAAAGAGGAAAAATGAGCAGGTTTCATACAGGCAGAGAGAAGGAAGAGGAATGGCATTCTTTTTACATAGTTATTTGTAACCTACAGATAGGACTGCATGACAGTACACCAGAACGACAAGAGAGTACAAGAGTATTTAGGTCAGTCAAAATTAGGGTGTGCTTTTATAAGACTGAGCCCAGCTGCTCTACATGCAGCTATTGCTGCGACAATCGCATCTCCCACGAGCTGCCTCACAGGCCAGAAACTGCTGGTTTTTCTGTAGGGTTACTTATTGCCAGTTAATTCTGCTCACTCTGGGGTCAGATGGGCACCAGTGCAGGAGAAAACAGCAGGAGCCCAAAGTTGTGGATAGAAGGGAGGAGAGAAGGACTGCCAGCACCTTGATGGGCTTATATCTAGCATTAAAAAAAAAGCTCCAACTTTAATAAAGATCATCAGGAATTGTGTAGGGACCTCACAAAAGCAGAAGAATGAGGAATTTAGGGTTGCCAAATTTTGGCTTATGCATTGGAATACCTTTAATGATTCATTTATGTTACCATCTAGCAGCCAGCCTGTCACTACAAGGCAGAATGAGGAACAGCTCATCAATCTTCAACAGTAGCCACAGCACTGGGAAAATTTAGGGTCCTCTCTCATGTTTCTGAAACCGTCCAAATCAAGATTCCAGGGGAGTTTCTGATAAAGCACTGGAAGTCAAAATTACTCCCCTCTTAATGAAAGTTCTCTCAAACTCCTGGACTCCAGATACAGGGTTATGGGTGACTTTCCCTCCTTTATTTCTCTGTTTGGACCCTGGAAAGGGAGGAAGAGAAAAGAGCAGGGGGGATCTTTAGAGGGGAAAATTACTTTCTCTGAAACAAACAAAAAAAATTACAAGTTAAATATCACACAAAATGCTCCTACAAAAATAATTAAATGATGATTGCTCTTATGTCACAGGAAGCACCATGAACCAAATGCAGAAAGGAGCATGCTCCCCTGCCATTCCACACTGTCTGAATGAATCTTCCAGCAGTGGCACCACC